TTTTTATTAGGTGCGCCTCACTAAGATATACACACGTTCTAAAATTTCAGATCATTCCAATTTATAGAAAAAAAAATTAAAATTGAAGCACTATTGGACAATCGTGATTGTGCAATGAACTTTGGACAGTGATGTGCATAGGCAAAAGCACTGTTTATTTTCGCCTATAGGTATTGGGAAGACTTTTCCTATATATATATATATATGTAAAGAAACCATATCGATATGTGATGTGTAAAGAGGAATTCTCAAACCCTATCAGTCTACCACAGCTAAAATGGACAATTACCATGCATCTAAAACACCTAAGACTGGATGATATTGGAAGTTGTAAACTTGTAATTGTCGTCTGATAGTCCCTATATACTAAGTAAATTTGGCTTAGATTATCGGGAAGATTTGTCGTCTTGCACCCAAGTATTATATGATTTTGTCAAAGTCCGTCGCCTTAAGTGCTGCATGGGCATCCTAGACATCATCCATGGTTTGCTAAATCATGAGGACTGAACTAAGTGTGCCTCGACATCATCCATAGTTAGCTAATTAATTTTTCAATCACCACAAACTAAGTGTTGCATTGGAGCCTCAATATCATTAATAGTTTGCTAAATCATATGTCAGACTCGTCTAACTGAGCTATAGAAGGTACGCTAATTAAGTTTTTAGAGATATATATTCTTATATAAATACTCAAGATTAGCAAAAGTCTGGATATACTGTGTGAGGAGAGAACACAATCACAACAAAGAACTCACATAATGCTCATATAATTTTATAGATTCGAGGACTAGCTCCAGGTTGCTTATGAGCAACCCGTTACAGTTTACAACCACCATAATTTGCCAAGTGGAACAACCTAGATGGGGCTTTCAACACATTACACTTAGACTAGATTGGAAGATTTAGAGCAGAAAACATCGAATTATATAGAACCCAACAAATTATATGGCTCCATTTGCTCTTGTGGATATAAGAACAAGAGGGGGGGACTGTGTGTACCTCTACCGATGTATCCTCTCTCCTTCCTTCTCAAAATGAGTTTATGATAACCTCAAGTGGTGAATTCACAAGGTGACTATCTTCGACCTCGATCCCTTCACATACCTCTGATCTTTCTGTAGAATTCTTTCTTTTCCTCAAACTTTCTCTCTCCTCTCCGAATTTGGGTAAAATTTCGACTCCCTCACTCCTCTCTCTCTCTCTGAGCACTTGCTCTCCACCTCAAGGCTTCATGATAAGAAGAAGCTCTCCAAATGGTTAAAGCATGGGGCGTTTATGGGCCAAGAGGGAGAGCTAGGGTGCCTTGGCACTCAAGATAAGTGAGAACAAAATTGGGAAGGAATTTGAGCAGATTGCCCTAAATATTACATAAACTGCATGGTGACTCGATCCACTGGTGCGCTAACAAGAAGAACCCATATTTTGGGGTCATTTCACCCGGCATTTTGATGTCTTTTCGTGGCTTCTTTTCAAACTCCTTTTTGTGGGTTGAGAGGGCATTGAATCTGGGGCCTGTGACTTAATTTCTGATTGAACACCTAAAAAATGGAGTCATGGGCCAATCATAATCGACTGCTCATGCGATGGTTATATGCAGCAGTCTTTTTAATAACCCATTATCTGCGGCTCAAACTGCTCTCCAATCTGGATTCAATATATTAGAGCTCTTGTGTAATCTCGTATGGCATTGGGTGAATATTATTTTGGCACAAATTTCAGCTCAAAAGGCCCACGGATGAGGGAGATCAAGAACAAAAGCCTCAGAAGTCTAGTAATCTAATCCTGAGTTGTCCCTTGATTCACTCTCTGATTCATTCTCCGATCTTGGAATTATTTCCTAAAACATGCATATGGTCTTATTGGGCAGAAAGTGAGGACGGAACCACCCAAATTTCAGCTTGGAAGGGCTTGATAAAATGGATAAGAAAGGACCGGCAGCCAGGTGGTCAATCCACCTGCTGATGAATAGGTGGTATTTCAAGCCACTGGCGGGTGGTTGATCCACTGGTGGCAACTCTATTCTAGCCCCAGGCCATTGAATTATTAGAAGCTGGGTCAAACACGGTCCAAATGATTAGAATTTTGGAAAGTAGATTTGAGACCTGCCAGATTAAAATCCCACCAAATTTCACCCTGATTAAAGATCAATTCAATTGAGGACCCATTTCCAGTAATTTTATCTCATCATTCACATTTGACTATCAATGATTTTATATTCTGATACTCTTGTACTTATAAATTTCCAAATAAATTTTTATTTCTCTTTTTTAATTGAATTCGAATTCAATATATCTACCTTCTACTTCTAGTACGTGTTAATCCATGTCTTGGTGGTTTGCCTACTCGGTTTTATGACTGCTAAGAATTCATATTATTTCTCTGTGTTTATTTTTAGTGTTGATTTTTAATTATAGATATTTATCCATTTAAGTTTTTAATTTTTTTAAGTTTTATATATAAAAGGGCAAAGAACAAACAGCTTGGGGTTTCCGATTGCACAAATTTAAATACCATAAACATGTTGATTATTTCCCCCAAAAAAAAAGAGAGAGGGAGACAGAAAGAAAGAAAATCAAAGCTTCTTTAGCCTAGATTGTCCTCGCCAAGAATCGGTATGCATTTCATCATCGTTCAAGGCAATGATAGCAAAACAAAACTATGCAGAACAGCTGATTGCTAATATTATTAACCAAAATTTTATTTTCATAAAAGTAACTAAACAGGGATTTTTCAGCTCCCATAGTTTAAAAGATTAACCTAGTTAAATATTGGCCTTGAAAGCACGGTATGCTTCAAATATGACCAAAACTTTATTCGCCTAGTGCATCGCTGATCAGGAAAAGCAAGGATTTGAACCAACTTAAACTTCAGCCCATGAAATCTGATCATGACCAAAATTCCAAATGAAATTCACCTAATTATAAACCAAAAAATGTATATAACAGAATGGGGTTTCAGATTCCACCATTTGAAATTCTAAGCCAGTGAAGACCACCTTAAAAAACCTACTATTTTTAAATATAACCCAAATTGTAATCACCTGGTTCATCTTTGTCAAGGAGAAAATTGACCACGACTTGGAAAAATCAGAAGACACGCATTTCAAAGTTGCAAAAAAGAGCAAAGAGGCAACTAAAGTCAATAACGAATACTTCAAAACAGCCAATGAGCAACTCACCCTCGAAAATCGCTGAATTTCCAACCAGAGAGATAACCTGTCTTCTGCAAGAAAAACTTCCACTCTTCTTTTTGCATAGATTTTTCAGCCTCCTCAAAAGCAGGCCTGTAGACCCCCTTCTCTGTTCTTCTAACCTCTGAGGGCCTCACATCATAAAATATTGGAATCATATGAACCTTGCTTTGATGCATCAGCCTCAGCTCTTCAAGACAAAGAGTGCAATTCGCAAAATCCCTTGATAAAATTACAATACAAACAGTTGCCTCATTAATGGCCTCCTCATTGGGGATCGAACAATCTCTACTACAAAGAGTGGAGATATTGAGTTTCTGAAGGTGTGAGAGAAGGTCCTTTGCGATGCCATTTTGGACCTCGAGAGAAGGGGAATGGCAAATGAAGATCTCACACTTTCTCAAATCTACATTAGATTTATTCACTTCCATTATTGAAGTGTCCGGCCTGAACCAGCAAGAGAAGAGCTTCTGAGCTCGTGAAGATGAAATTCGGGGCATCTTTTCTTGAAAATTTCCTCAAAATAGGAGATAAATGCGTCAGGAGTTGCAGAACTAGGGCTTTTGCAGAGGATGAATGTGTTGATAGTTGAGGAGCTAGGGTGTCTTTTGTAGTAAATGGAATGTAAGGGAAAAAGTGGATTCATCAAAATTGAAGAATCATGGCTTTGAGGAGTCAACGGTGGGAAAGTCAATGATAACAGCAAATGATCTATTTTTTAAGATTAGGATTCCAATGCAGACGAGGAGCGTGTGATAAGGCAGAGACCAAGTGGGAAGAGAGAGAGAGAGAGAGAGAGATTTTGGAAGAATGGTTGAGAGAAGGAAGAAGAGTTTTGCAATAGAAAAGTGGCGCGTTTGAACCAGAGCGAGCAAAATGCATATATCGATGCATTGAGAGAGAGAGAGAGCGGGGGTTTTAATTTTGAAACGCCTTTAGCCGTTTCTTCTTCTCTCTCACCCAGATGGAGCCTTCGTCGGCAGCTGGCTACCGGGCTGCCTAGTCTGCTACAAACCCGGCCTATATTCTTGCTATGGGCTCAGCTCGGGCTTCACATGTGTTGGGCTCAATCCGAATCAGGCCTGACAGTTTTGGTTTGACCCAAAATTTTGTAGGCAAAATTACGTCTTTACGTTTTATTTTACCGTTATAATAGAAATGCTAAAAAAATAAGGAAAATATCTCTATACCATTTATTTTTAAGTTTCATTCTACAGTAAACTCAATATTTTAAAAGATGTCTTGAGGCATAAAATTTGTAGAATTTATTTCTTATAAGTCCTTGAGCTAATTTAAATCAGTTTTTTTTAGGCAAAGCAAATCTAAAATAACATATTTTTTCTAAAAGCCATCCCAAACTTCTAGAGAGAGAGAAGGCTTTATAGAGGTAAGAGGTTATCGAGAGGAGAAAAAGAGATGCTTGAAAAAATATAGGAGGAGAGAGAGGTGTTTGGAAAAACATGAAACGAAAGAGATTGAGAGACATAAGAAGAGAGAAAAAGAGAGAAGTTTAGGTATACAAGTGAAGAGAGAGAAATATTGAGTTTAGAAAGAGCGTCTTTCTCACATTTATTTAGGTTAAAAAATAGGTTTAAAGTGTTAAAAGATATTTTTTGAAATCTTGGATTTATCAAAAAATGAAATCTAAAAATAAGGGGCATAGAGATATTTTCCTAAAAAATTATGTAGTATTTACACAGAAGAAATAACCTCCTTGTATTTTTTAATTTTTTTGGACTTTACCTTGATCTGATGTTACGAACATTGAACCGCTTGATAATTTTTATTTTTTAATATTCATAAGTCATCCAATGCGAAAAAGTGGAATGAGACAATTTGTAGGGCAGTCTGATGTTTCTGCTTGTATTAAGTATTTTTTTCTCCTCTCTCTCCTCTATCGTTTCTTAACTCCTCTATCGTTTCTTAGCTCCTCTTTCTTTTTTGTTTTTGGTTGTTTAAGTCATTTTTGTGTTATGTGTGGTGGTATGTTGTAGAAGTAATGTATGGATTGTGTGTGTAAAGGAAAGTATGGAATAAGACCATTTATCTTTGGTACAAGGTGAGACATTTATCTTGACCATTGGATGTGAAATTGGGTGGCTGCAATTATTCCACTGACCAAGCGAAAACTTCAAAAGAAATTTTTTTGAACTTTGTGACACATCCAAGCTATCAAACTTCACATCAGATGGCTGCAAGTAATTGTGACCACCTTATGTTAAAGGTAAATGGTCTCATTGTATACAATCTTATAAATTAATGAATAAATAGACCATTTATTTTTTGTATATAAAGGTCACAATCATTTTCATTCATTAGATATCTAATTGAATGGCTTGGAATGGATTATAAAGTTTGATATTTTTTTTTTTTTAATTTGTGTCTATTCAATGATACCTTTACAACTACCTATTTTGAATTTTAAGAGATAAGAATGATTGTAACCTCCATTATCAGACAATCACTTATTCACAAACCTCGTGTGGGACTAATAGTTCTCATTTTTCATCTCATGAAAAACCATTTTTGCTCCACTTAGATTTAACCCCTTCTAGAGGAATTTTAGTGATAGGTTTTATACATCAATGGACATCTCGAAATGCGAAACATTGACAAATGATGATTACAGGTGATGACATAGGCAGTATTTTGACACCATTATCTACAACATCAACTTCTGATTGGTTGAACTCGCCGTCAATTGCTTGACATTTGAATGTACAAATTGAACTGAAGATCTTCCATCATTACCTGTAACGAGGGTGACAATCTCGTCAACGGTACTAAGAACAACAACAACTTCTAATTGGCCACGATCATCGCCCAATGTCGAGTTTCAAGATGAACAAACGGTGACATGATACAATCATTATTACTTCACAACCAATGTTGTCGGCAGCGTCGACTATTATGCTACCAACGTTAGGCCGATGATCTCAAACTAAAGAAACTCCAAATCTTG